CGGAGCCGCGCTTCGATCCCGCCGACACTATCGGCCTCGAGCTGCCCGTGTTTGTTGAGGCGCCCGACGGAGTTCTCTTGAACTGCACCGGCGTGAGCGGCCCTCGCAGACCACTCGAGGCTACGCTGCGCGCACCGGTGGGCGACTGCCAGGCTGCTGCGGCCGCTCGACACGTCCCCTTGACGCGCCGTTGACGACCCAACGCAGGCGAGCGTCGACGAGCTCTGCGCCGCGCAGGACGCGATTCGCGAGGCGGGCGACGGCGGGACCGCGTCGGTGGTTGCGCTGCCCGCTGACCCGCTGCTGTGGGCCGTCGCGCTGACCGGGCTTGAGGAGTGCCAACTGGAGGCAAAAGAGGGCAACGCGGGGGCTTGAGGTCGAACGCCCGCTCGTGAGCTCGCCGTTGACCTTTGATGTTTGCCGCGGTGCGGCGAGGACTTACAGTCGAACAAATAGATTTTGTGGCGGCGCCACCAGCGGCCCCCTCGTGATGCGCTCCCACCCCGCGGCTGCTCCCGTGCCCTTGACGCTTGAGCCTTGTGTCCCTGATCGCGTCCTTCCAAGATGCTGATCGTGCAGGTGGGGACCCTGTCCTTCCTCACTTTTTTGTTTTTTTGTTTAGCTAAAAAAACCGGTTTGCAATGTCCGCCTTGCGTTTGTTTCATAGCATCGAAGGCTAAGCTCAAAAAAAACCTCAGGGCTGCTCTCGGACCCGAGAAAACCCCTTCTCTGGTAGGACGGAACGGAGTACCCTTGTAGAAACAAAAGAACTCTCCCTCACAGCAGACAGGCTCGACACAGGTTCCAACTGGTGCCTGGTAGAAGAAAAGCAAAAACGGCCCCGCGCAGCACAGGAGAAGCCCCTCCCGCCCGTGCTTGTGCAGCGCAGCCTCCTCCTCCCTCTGAGACCGACGTCGCGAGCTTGGAACGGATCGCGGACCGCAATGTCGCTGCCGCGCCTTCGCGCGGCCTCCTGTGCCGCCGCAGCCGCCGCGGCGATCGGCTACGGCGCGTACACTCTCAGCGCGGCGCCTGGCCCTGACCGCCTCGAACGGTGGCACGCGAAGTGGGCGAGCAAGCAGACCCGCTGGCACCTGCAGCAGGAGCACCCGCTCCTCGTGCGGTACCGCGCGGACCTCTTCGGGCCGCAGCCGCGCCACGACTCGCCCTCGCCAAAGGCGACTCGCTCGAACGTCCTCTTCCCGCTGTGCGGCGCGAGCGTCGACCTGGCTGCGCTGGCGCTGCGGGGCTATCGCGTGGTCGGCGTCGAGGGCGTTGGGGCGGCGGTCGACGCTCTGCTCGAGACGTTTGGGGACGAGGTTGAACAGGCGCCGCCAAGTGTGTCTGGGTCGCTGAGGCTGCGGACGGCCGTAGCACCGGGCGAGGCGGGGTCGGACGCACAGGCGGTGCTGAGGGCTGTGGAGGGCGACTTTCTACACCTCTCCCCGAGCGCCGCGGACGCGCTGGGCCTGCCGAGATTCGACGCCGCCTTCGACCGCGGCGCTCTCGTGGCGGTGCTGCCCGAAGACCGGGAGGCGTACGTGGCGACCCTCGCCGGCCTCATGGCGCCAGAGGGGCGGGTGCTGCTGGTGACGGCGCGGCCGGCGCGGGAGGGGATGGATGGCACTGTCGCGGCAATGCACCCCGCCTCTCGCCGCCTCTGTAGGTGGAGCACGACGGCTTCGCCGGCCCTCCGTACGAAGTGCGAGAGGCGGACGTGCGCGAGCTCTTCTCGCCCGCCTTTGCGGTGCGGCCGCTGCAGCGCGAGGACCGGATGGGCGCGGAGCCGCACTGGAGGGAGCGAGGGTGCACACGCTTCGAGGAGGCGGCGTACCTCCTCACGCGCCATCGAGCAGGGTAGCGGTCTCGAGAGCAACAGCGGCGCGCGTGATCCGCCGCGGTGTTTTGTTATGCGATTGTAAAAAGGAGATGGCAAAGATTCCGCGTCCGACGCGCCTCGGCACGTCGTCTCAGTCTCTGAGCCCTGCGCCCCTGGCCTCGACGCACCTCGACACCAGACCTCGACTCACACCAACTCCGAACTCGACACCTCTCGACACCCCATGGCCCATGCCAACTCGACACCCTCGATGACACCCCTCGACACCCCTCGACACCATCTGAAAAAAAACTGTTCAGTTTTCAAAGGCAAAAACGCCGGCGTACGCCCTCCCCTCACACTGACACTTCTCCCCTATTCCCAACTTTAGGTTGCGCACGTCTCCCAGCGAGCTAGGATCTCCGCTTTTTCTCCCCTAGTCATCCGCCCGCGCCGCGCGCCTCTAAGGGCGTCTAGTGCAGCCACTGAAAGAACTATTCCCGTGGAATGGTCGACGTCTCGCCTGAAGTCGGGTGAGCTCGCGCACTGCTTAGCCCTAGGAGAGGGGTGTGTGTGAGGTGGTGGAATGGTAAGGTTTCAGGCCAGAGGGGTGGGGGATTTGGGGGATGAGTCAGGAGCCAGCAGCCTTCCTACTGGACCTGAGTTCTCAGCTCTTCCGCCCGACGGGGTGGTCCCTTGGATTCGGGCCCCGCTCCCTTTTCCTGCGCCTGGTCTGTCCCTGTCATGAGTGTGTTGCGAGATGCAGAGCTCGTTAGCTGTAGCACAGAGCTGGTGGAGCACTGTCTGGTTAGGCTGGAGAGCTTGTTAGGCTGGGGCACAGAGCTGGTTGGGCTGGAGCACAGAGCTGGTTAGGCTGCTGGTTAGGCTGGGGCACAGGGCTGGTTGGGCTGGAACAGTGGAGCACAGAGCTGGTTAGGCTGGAGCAGAAAGCTGGTTAAGCTGGACCGCGGGCGGTGCGGCCGCCGGCTAAGGCAGCTCGTTAGGCCAAAGGGTCGCCCCCGGGGCTTCCAAGTGGCGCCGATAGGGAGGTTGCCGGTTCCCTTCCGATCCCCCCGCACCAAAAGAGGAAACCCCGTTTCGCCCCCCTGAGCATGGAAAATAAAAACCTTTT